CCGGAAAATTGTCTGCGGGCATCTATGGTTTATACTGTTTATAGGTAAGTTGAAATAAATACCCGAAGGTGTACAAACAGTTACCATATCAGTCAATTTGCCGACCAAGAAAACAGTGAGATTTGAGAGATTTGAAGGATTATCAAAGAAATTAATTTTGATTTCGCGATTGACTCGAGTACCTAATTTAACATTTATTATTTATTAATAACAGTTGAATGACACAGCACAGTATATTATAATAGTAGTCCGTGTGCGGCGCGCGCGGTTTTCAGATTTGAAAATTGGCGGGGAAAAATGTCTGGGAGATATTACAAAGGGAAGAAGAAAAAAAAAAATGAAGCAGAACGACACGTCATTTTCGCCTCCACGAGGTCGCCGCCGAACGGTAAACGTCACGACCCTCCGTCGCCCGCCCACCRCCGATCGGGCCAACGACCCACCGACGCGCCGCATCGGTAGTGTGCCACACGCGCACGCGCAAGCCCGCGCGAGWCACGCCGTACACGAAAATATTATTATATTCATCGTTTACGCACACACACGATATTTTCACCATTTTGTCGTTTACTCGTTTTCGTCCGGTCTCGTCGTYACATTATTCTGTTTATTTGTTTTTATACGAATTCCCAGTTTACCGTTTTGTTTGTTTCTAACCCCTCCGCGCGGCCCGTCGACGACGATAATATTGTTACCGTTTGCGCACGCGCGTTGGCGCACAGTGAGTTTAACACCGCTCCGTACGCGACCGCCGTAATAATATATAGTTCGCCACAGCAACACACACTCACCTACTTGCGCTCCACGAACGTGCACCGCGATTACCACAGCATCCATCGCCGAATCGAGTTCCATCATCGATAGCGCTTGACCGAGGAATCCCGGCCGTTGTTTCCGACACGATCCCGAACGGTGCCGAGTCGATCGTTCCCGAAAAATGGCGAAAACCTTCTCGTGTGAGTATAACGTCGTAACATCGTAATCGATGACGACAATATCATTACTTCTGTCGGACATCGTCGTCCAGTACGTCCCGTTGTGGTCTGGCCGTCGGTTTTCGAAAAAAGATTTTCCCACCCCGAGGCCGCCGCATGCAAGACTCGTGGACCACCCACACGGTGTCGCGTCCGAGGTTTTCGATGGTCTGGCCGATTTGTTTTCCTAGTTACCGTCCCGATCGGCAAATCCAATATGTGGGTTACCGGTAAACTAYTTTCGGGTCCTTTTTAATTTTTCTAGGCCTTTTACTCGGTTTCCTCGTCGCCGAATTCGTACACCAGTTTGGCTACAGTGAAAAAAACATTGCCCAAAATCTGCCAAATGATAGGTACATCTATTAATTTTTTTTTCAAATTTGTTTCATATTTGTTGTTGATACCTGTTTAGGTACCATGAACGTTTTCTCTTGTCCGTCACACTGCCCAGGTTTCGGTATTGTCTGGGTAAATTAATGTATTTCAAATTAATCACAGCTATTGCTCGAAGAGATCACTGAGTTTTGTCAACCTGAATGAAAAAAAAAATTTAATTTTTATACATTTCTTTTTGTTTTCAAACATTTTCTGGACCCCTATTYTTGGACGKTCTAAACTAAAACAATAACACATTTACGAGTGGGAAGATAACAGTATATTATTGTAACCTGTAGGTTGACAACCTTGTGCTACCTAAATGATTGCTATTTTTCTCTTCTTTTTATTTCAATAATTATATTATGATACAACTGAATCTTGTTTTGCCTACTCAACAATATCAAAGTATCTATTTGATATACAACTTTTTTTTTTATATAACACAATGTTGATATCAAATGATGTTAGATGTACAACGTTGCTGTAATTTTAACAGATAATATTCATTGGTCTCTCATGCACTATATAAGTAATATTACTAAGAAATAATAACAACGCTTCCTATTCATGCATATTATTATTAAATTATGTGGAATGTATCAATCTTGGTATTAAATTATTTAATGATTTGTTACATCCATAGACTTTTTTTTTTGTATTTTAAAATAAATTACATGGCATTAATTATTGTTAAATTGTATTCACTTACTCTGTTTTATCAGTTTAGTTTTTATTATTTTTAACTAATTAAATGTCAAATACCTAATTATTTAATTCCATTAAAAAAAAATGTTTATTTTCAATTATTTTATCCATATTGATATTGAAAAAAAAATATTGGTATATTAACATACATAGAAATATTATATTTTTATTTCTTGTTCCTAAATTATTTTTAATTTACTACAAATAAAAACCTAGCCATTAAAATAAATATTGATTTTAATGTTGCATAGTCACTTAGAATAACCTTTAACTCAATAATCATCCATAATATTATTGCCAATTCTATAAATACAGATAATTTTCATTGACACCTATTTAAATATTTTTTATACTTAATGTAAGCTAAATTTTAATAATTGTATTTAGCTACACATATTTCAATATATTAAACTAATCATAGGTGCCTAATATTGGTATTTTGAATTTTCTATTATCTTAGACTATCTTTGTATTGCTACCCTGGGCTATCACCATTATAATTTTTCGCATCATTCTATCACAWTWCTTCTATGAAAATAACTATAATAAATAATCTAAATTAATCATCTTGTTGTGTAAAATAGTGTCATTACTTTCTTGCACAAATAAATTGATTTTTTTTTTATTATTATCTTATAAATTCCTAAATTTATATATTTTATACTGATGGTATTCTAACATGATTCTTCCCCATTTTATTATATCATGGACAGTATAAAAATATGAGCAAATATAAATTTCTTTTATAATAGTATGCGATTGAGCAATAGATGAATACTTTAATAATAATACTAATTTACCGTTACTGTGTCCAATGGAATACACTGAAACCAATAAGAGACATGCACTGGATGACAATGTTCATCGTCTTTGTTGATAGTTTCAAAAAATACCATCCTTTTGATAAATTGTTGGATTAGCTGCACATAAATTCTGTTTTGTTATATTTATAAGGGTTCAAGGTGARTACTATGCGTCTCTACTTATTGTCTTCTCAATGAATTATGTTTTAGAATTCTTTATAATTTGTTTTCTTCATACTTTAATAGCTTATTGATTATTATAAAATATAGCTATATAGATACAATTACATTTACTACCAAGTGTGATAAAATAGTATAAAAAAAAATGAACTTACTCAATGAATAATTAATTAACTAACATCCAATAGCCTGATGTATTTGATTTATGACTATGTCTAATTAAACTAGTATCAATTGATACCTTTCATGTGAATTGTRTATATATTGTATACACTTTTTGTATGWGCCATTACCTATTCTTATTTTATATTTAAAAAAATAAATAATGTTTTGTTGTATACRCTTACTGGAATATAAGGTTTTCATATTTTAGCCATCATCAATCCCAACAATATATTAAAATTCCGTGAAGCATTCTACAATGATGCCAAAAATGTGTTGGCCCAAAATGCMTGTTCTCGTGTCAGCCCAACAGAAGTGAGCACRTCAAGAAATAGAGTACAGGAATGTCATCATTATTACACGCAYAAGGTTTGATTGATTTCTGACTTTAGATCCAAATAGCCTTTAAATGTATTTGTTTTTGTCTAGATTGAATCTGAAGGCAAACCAGTAACTAACCAAAGAAGTTCAGGTCGCTGTTGGATATTTGCATGTTTAAATGTGATCAGAGTTCCATTCATCAAACAATTCAACTTAGAAGAATTTGAGTTCAGCCAAGCTTATATTTTTTTTTGGGACAAGGTATAGTTTGTGTAAAAATTTTTAGAGATATTCTTTGTGTCTGAAAAATATAATATACTTATATGACCTTGGTTTGTTGGATGATGTTAACAATACATGGTCCCTTTTACACACCTGTTCCTCATTTGTGATTTGTATTGTACTTCTGTCAATAGGACTGGTTTTTTTKGGGGGGTTCAAATTCATCCCAAACACAATGAAGGTTTAGGTATAATAAACAGAATGCTGTTCAGATTTTTCAAAACTACAATCAATTTGCTTGCAGTTGACATGTATTATTTGAGAGTATAAATGTTTATGAGCACAAGATATTGTATAGAAACTAAATCTATTGTATACTTTTTCATTTTTTTTCATTATTTAATATTTAGATATTGCATAGAAAGATATAAAACTATTTATTCCATACCTAATAATTCTGTTGACTGTTATTGATAGAGAAATACAGAGATATAACAATAAATGTGCTGTTATTTGCATTAATTAAGATAATAAAATATATATATATATATATTTGTGTGAGAAAAAGTACCTATTGTCTTTCAATAAAATAAAATGAATAGTTTAAATCAATTTATATAAATGAACACAAATGTATTAAAGTAAAATAAGATAAAAAAAATATTTAAATTTGTGAACAACCTGCTTAAGACTGTATCATTTTAATCTTAAATATTTTGAGTAAAATGTGGAATGTATTGGTTTTATAATTATAATTTTTTTGTTTTGTGTGGAAAAATGTATGTACCCTTTTTTAATTCTGATATTTAGTTTAAATAAATAAACTTGTATAGTTTCAATACTTATTTCATTGATAATTGTCCTCGAATTTCTGAAAACAATCATATGAAGAGAAKATGTTATTRAAAGTACAAATGTAATTTAGTGCATTTACAACTGAATTTTGCTCATTAGTGATTTTAATTTATTGATTTATAAAATAATGTATCAATGAATGTTATGTTTATATAAGCTACGATAGTTGTAAAATAATTGATTTATTGTATTTTTAGATTGAAAGAAGCAATTATTTTTTAAATGCAATTGTGCAAACCGCTAAGCGTGGTGAAACTGTTGATGATAGAACTACTGCTTGTTTGCTCTCTGTAAGTTACCAATTAGATAACATAGTTATGTTGTTAACATTAAAAATTATTTTCGTTGACTAAAGAAACCTATTGAAGATGGAGGTCAGTGGGATATGTTGGTCAACATCATAACCAAGTATGGATTGATGCCAAAGAAGAACTTCCCAGAGTCATTTAGTTGCGAAACAAGCAATACTATTAATGTTATACTGAACAGCAAGGTAATATGTCATAACTCTTAAAAAATAACTGACAGATGTTTTATGATATTTACATTTTTACATTTTTAGCTTCGAGAATATGCCATAATTTTACACAAACTTGTCAGCGATAACGCAACAGACAATGAGATTAAAACCAAAATTGAAGAACAGATGGAAGTTATTTATCGAATTGTTGGTATTTGCATGGGTATACCTCCAGCTACATTTGAATGGCAATACTATGACAAATCTAAAGTGTTCAACACTGTTGGACCTATCACTCCGTTGGATTTCTATTTGACACATGTCCGCCCTGTGTTTGATGTTGTAGAAAAGGTATGTGCTTAGATTATCTAACAATATGTAGTATATTATTTCGTAATCAATTCAATTATATTTGTATTCAGGTGTGTTTGATCTCGGATCCACGGCCAAACAACCAGTACGGTAAATTATACACATTGGACATGTTAAATAACATGGCTGGTGGACGTAAAGTTCTCTATAACAACCAGCCAATTGAAGTATTAATCAAGGCAGCTCAAGATTCCATTGTAAATAATGGTGAACCAGTATGGTATGGATGTCAAGTAAGCAAAAGATTTTCTGATAAGCTTGGATTGGAAGATTTGAAAATGTAAGTTTCATAAAATAATCTTAAATATACACATATTTATTTGAAAACATATAATTTATTSGAGTATTTATAATTTTAGTCATGATTACCAGCTAGTATTTGGAACTGATGTATCTATTCCGATGACTAAAGCTCAACGTATGTTATATGGTGAATCTGCTATGACACACGCAATGGTCCTAACTGGAGTTAATGTAGATGTAAGTAAATCATAATAAATTTGTGAAAATAATTTTAAACCCTCAAATATTTTCATYTGTTTAGAATGGTAATGCAACCAAGTGGCGTGTCGAAAACTCTTGGGGTGAAGAACGCGGTGACAAGGGTTACTTGATGATGACCACAGATTGGTTTAAAGAATACGTATTTGAAGTGGTTGTTGACAAGAGTCTGTTATCCGAAGAGGTGTTGTCTGTGTTCCAACAAGAACCTCAAGTACTCCCCATTTGGGATCCAATGGGAACATTAGCCTAATTATTACTGAATTATTATTTTGATTTTTTTTTTTTTCCATATTCATTTTGTATGAATATTATATAATATGCAATTATTACATAAAATGTATAGTTTGAAAATGTTTTATACTCTATTTGTTTGTATAGGACATTTCCAAACTCTTATTGTATGCTATATAATATCGTAATCTAAAATCATATGTGTGCTATTTGAATTAAATTACACACTTATATATTTTATACATTATACTGAAAGATATTTTGTATTATTTTTTCACATACCCCTCAATGTCCTCGAAGAATAAAGAAGTTTAAAATAATATATTTTATTGAATAGTCATCAGTCATCATAAAAATACCGAAATTGTTATACTCTAACCTAGCGTTTCTTAAACTTTTTCATCCATGGAACCCTTTTTGATGTCCACTTTTGTCGTGGAACCCCTACTGTTTTTAGCTTTTTASCTTTTTTTAGGATTATTTGCAAATAAATTATAATATTAAGTAGAARTATAGATTATTGAATATAGAGTTAGCTGATAAATTATTCCATATGGCTTATATATCATTATTTAATAAACAAGTATTTTTTTTCCATARTGGATATTTTAAAGTAATTTTCTTGAACGCCGTTTTTATAAAATGACTTAAGCTTCGCGGAACCCCGAAGTGATCTATACGGAACCCCAGGGTTCCTCGGGGAACAGTTTAAGAAATGCTGCTCTAACCAATCATAATCAAAATGTGTGTTCTTGTCTCTATAATCTATTCGGGATAAAAATTATAGATTCTGCTGACTGAAACTAGCTGCATCTGTTAATCATCGCCCTTAAACGCTTACTACCGCTTTAGTGGTAAATACGTCAATAATTCACCAAGCGAGATTTTAGTTTGTTAAAAAGTGGTATGTACATTATCTTGAAATAAAAAACTAACTTGTATAAAAATAAAAATACCGCGCTACAATAGAAAATATTTATTCCAATCAAAAATACATAAATATAYAATTTTAATTTAGATCTAAACACTTTATAAAAAGAAAAAAAAACAAAATAATACTGTGCAATATTTTGTACTGGTTTTTAAACAACTAAAAATTTAAAAGTAACTTCTTCAATGTACAAAAAAAAAAAAAAAAAAAAAAAAAAAAAATAGTATTTTGACAGTACCTATTTAATAATAACATATACAAAAATGTAAAAAATGATGAGGCACTTTTTAGGTAACTAATTAACACGAGTAAGCACAAAATGATGTGGTAAATAAAAAATATTACAAAATCAATAATATTTAATAGGTCCTATAACAAAAGAATAAGCAATCGAGGCTGTAGACATATTATAATAATTGTTTCCTATTCAGTGGAAGTATACGATTACACGGACCAATAATTTTGTTTTGGCACATTACATCAAGTCTAGAGTTTAATCGAAATTGACACATATAATAGCTTAAACACTAACAATCTAACGCTCCTATRATATATTTATGGCGGTGCTAAAATAACAGTCTTTCGGCCATGGACAATAAATAATACAAAAAATGGCCTACAATCAGTGAAATAAAATATTATCGTACAGTCGATACATTAAAAACAAATCAATTCGTGAAAGGCCGTTACAAAAAATAAATAAAAAATTTGACTCGGTCATACATAATATTAATATATTTCATGGTAATCCTAATAATTTTGAGTAAGCCATTTTTCGAGAAAAAAAATTGGCCCGAGCTTATTAATCATACAAATTATGTACTAATCGGTGACTTGTGCTCCGAATTCGAACAAGTCCTGATAGTTTTTCATAACAATATAATATATAAAATATAATTTATCGTATGCGTCTAAAATTCGCATAATTATGTTATGGTTGTGTAACGAGTGTTAAAATAAAAATAAATAAATAAGTAATCTTACCATTCGAGTAGTATACACATAATTATATAAGAGTAAAATTGGCACAAATAAATAATGATATTTTAAGGTAACGATACTAAAATATTAAGCGAGTGACGGACGTCCGAGTAAAAAAGTAACCGGGTTACACCTTTGACTGACCTCTATGGCTCTATATGGTCTTTGAGTATTACAAAACCAAAGTTGGATAATCGAGCCAATGAAATAGGTATAGCTTAATAACTCCGATTTATCAAAACGAATAACTAACCCAAGAACGGACGGTTTCGTCCAACTTTTTAATTCGAAATTTTCGAAATCGGTTCGCGAACGACAGGCAGACTTTTAGGATAATCGATAATGTTCACGGGATAATCATGCTCTAACCCCGCCCACCGAGTGAGGATTTCGGGTTTTTTTTCCGTCAGAAAATAAAGCGTTACTCGCACACTGTTCTTCTCGCTTGTACGAAAATGTAAATTAAACAAAAAAAAAAGAAAAAGATTTTGTCAGTTTTTAAATTATAATATTACTAATTAATGTTCGTGTTGGTCTTGACGTGGTTGATGGTTTTTGATTTGGCCGTTTTAACGGCGCCGGCGGTGGCTACGGCAGAAGGCGACGCCGAAGTGGACATAAAACTCGGCGGCGGTGGCGAAGAATACGACGACGTACCATTGGTGCACCTCGTGCAGTTCGGCTTGTTGGCGGACGCGRCGCCACCCTGCGGCGTCTGTTCCGGTGCAGTAGACGATGGCAGTGGCGGCGGTGGGTGGTACGACGACAAAGACAGCGGCGGCAGTGGTCTGTACAGAGACGACGCGACGGCCGTAGCGGCGGAGAGCGACGACGAAGGGGTGGCCGCCGTTTGCGTGGCCTTGTTTTCGGTGACCAGCGCGTTTGTTTGTTTGAGCAGCGTCTGGTCGTTGCACAGAGCCGATATGAGAGGCAAGTCCAGGTTGCGGCTTTTCTCCCGCAATGACACGATGTCCAACACCGTCGTGGACCCGTTCGGAGTGGTGGCGTCATTGGCGGTGGTGGTGGTGGTGGTGTTGGTGGCACTGTTGGTGGTGGTGGCGGCGGCGGCGGCGGCGGGTCGACGAGGATTGACAACAGCCGCGGGCTTCTGGAGTCCGGTCACCGGCGGTGGCGGTGGTGGCGGCCGTCTACGGAACAGCTGCACTTTCGGGGGAACGGCCGGTGCCGACGTGCTGGCCGCCAATAAGTCATCGTGAGAGTACGTTCGGACGGGCAGCGGCAACGGCTGCAGCCTGTGATGGTGGTGGTGATGGTGTTGCGCTGCGGCGTAGTCGGCGGCCGCGGCCACGGTGCCCGGGAACAGCAAGTTTTGATTGGACGCGTATTTCAAGTGTGGCGGCAACGGAGGCAGCGGCGGTGGCTGTTGCTGCTGCTGACCGAGTAGGTGATGGTGGTGATGGTGGCGGTGGGACAGCGACGACGATGACGCGGACGACGATGACGGCGGTGGCGGGGGCGGTGACACTGCGACAGCCACGTTCGGCGTGCTTCGGTACAGGTGCGCGTTGGCCTGGTACGACGGTGGGTCGCGGCCGTAGTACCTGTGGTATTGGTTCCGACGGCCGCGGGCCAGCTTGGCGTCCACGTACTCTTGGCGGCTGACCGCTGGGTCTTGGAGCGGATACACGACAAAGTCGACATCGGACCGGAGTTGCTGTTTGTACTGTTCCAGTTGCAAGTCGAACCGCTTGGGCCGAGGTGGTGGCGGGGGCGGCGGTGGCTGTCGAGCGTGCAGCAGCGGCGGTGCTACCGATGCGACGGAGGCGGCTGCCGGGTAGATGTGGTGGTAGAACGCGGCGCCGCTCTTGTGCACGTCCAGGTAATTGTTACTGTTGACCTGCACGCACTGGTGATGGTGATGGTGATGGTGATGGCCGCCGCAGAACTTGACCACATTAGACAGTAGATCGAGCGACCGGCGGACGTCCCAGTGGGCGGCCGCAGTGCCGGTGCCACAGTCAAAGTTGGCCAGTGATAGGTTAGACAGGGACGGGGCGCCGGTAACAAAGTTCATCGGCGGAGGCAACGTCACGTAATCTGAATCTGAGTCCAGCGTCGAACTGGTGGTCGGCCGGGACGGGTAGAAACCCTTACGGGGCGTCTGCAGCGATTTGCGGCCGACGATCAGGTCGGACAGCTCGACGGCGGACAGAAGCGCACCGCGCCCACCCTCGGAAGGGTCGCTGCCGTCGCCGCGGAAACTGCCAGAGTTGCTGACCACCGAACCACTGCGGCTGCGGCCGCCGGTCGCCACACCACCAGCGTCCGCGTAACCGTCCAACGCGCACCGGTTACCGCAACCAGTTTCACCGCATTTGGACGATGACACGGACGACAGGGCTGCGTCGGAGATGGTCGTGGCGGTCGTGGCGCCACCGATGCAATACGAACTGTCGCTGGTAGCCGCGGCTGAMAGGTCGTACAACTCGTCCGCACCGCCACAACCGCCGTCGCAGTCGTCGACCGCTGCGACCTGCTTACCGAGGCCCACCGGACGCCCTTCCTCGTCCGCTGACGTGGACGATGCTGCCACCGTGTCCGGCGGCAGTGAAGCGCTGTACGCTGAGTCGGCATCCGGTTGCTGTGTCATGGACGATTTTTGCATGGCGGCCGCGGCCGTCGTGGCTTTGTAACTGCCGCTGCCGCCATGGTTGCAGTCCACGCTGCAACTGCAGTTATCGGTGGTGTATGAAGCGGAAGCCGTGTCTTTGGACGCTGTGCTGTAGCTGGCGCACGTGTACACGCCGCTGCTAGTGTTCGCCGATTGATTGCTGTTGTCCACGTACGCCGCCCTGGCCCTCGGATGCCTGTACATCAGATATGCGTCGCTGCTGTCCTGCGCTGACTGCACCGAATAGTCCAGCTCAGACATGGCTGAATTCTGCGCCGTGTGACTGTAACCCAGCTCCACGCTGGATGATATGCTTCCATTTGGTACCTGTGACACAAGCGTATTATTGTGAGGAAATGTGGCAAAGTTAAATAATTGGTTAAATCAATTTTTCAAAGTCTATAACATAACCAGTTAGTTAATTTTCTTACTAACATCAAAACTTATCTCGTTAAATATAAAATTTATTGAGTCRACTTAGCTATTTCCAGTTGATTAAAAAGATAATACGTTAGTTAAAATCATGCTTATACAGTTTAACATGTCTCAATTATAAAAAGAATGAGTTAATCATTTTTAAATTTCTATAAATTTTTTTATATAAAACTAGTATGTATTTCAAAAAGGAATTTTTAGATTGCAAAACGATGATAAAACTTAAAACGYTCATCATATGTACCTACAATTATAAAATGTGCATACCTTGTCCTTGGGAATAGAGGTCTTCGGGTCGGACGTCGAAATACTAGAATCGGAGCAACCGCCGTTCTCGCATTTTTTCTTTTCGATGACGTCATCGTTTTTTTTCGATTTTGATTTCTTCTCATTGGTCCATTTCAGCCCATCAAACGCGTTCTTATCTGSACCGCACGAAAATAAATAATTAGTGGTTGTTMATCATTAACGCGCAGACACAGACACAATGACATTTTTTGCGTTTTTAATTTTTATTAGTTTTGCCGATTCATTGGGCGCACTCACCAGATGAGTTGTTGTTCAAAAACGTATCCAAAAGCCTCGGATGTACCGTCATGCAAAATTGATGCGTGTCTCGACACAGCGCCAACAGCCTCTTGCTCTTTTCGTCCGAATTCGTGTAGTACACCAATCGATCAGTGTTCGATGGCCTCAGTTCGAATTTTTTACGCTATGGCAATGTTAAAAATCAATTATAATAATAAATTAATAACAATATTATATGTTACTATATTTATATACTATATGTATTATAATTGGTAAAAATTATAATATAGACTAAATTGTTATACATAGTGTAGCCATTATCTATTATGTACTAGGTAGGTAATATATAGCTAGATACAGTAGCGTAACTAGATAAAAAAAACTAAGGAKAAAAGTAATTTATTCGTCATATTCGAAACCATCAACTTACACAAGCCTCATAGACTCATTTTATGGCTTGGTATACCCATCGTATAGTTAAATAATATTAAGTAAATAAGAATTCGTTAAAAAAGAGTGCTGCGTATTAAATAACTTGTTTGAAAAATTAATGCAATGATAATTATCTAATCGCAATAATCCATGAAATAATGTTATTAGGTTGTTTTAGTAAYCCAGATAATGCGATAACGTTGACAATATACGTGTATTGTAAATAAGTTACGCATCAGAAGAAACATCTAACAATATGTAGGTACTTATATGTGCAATAACTTTATAGGGTATAAATATTTGAAATCTAATAAATAAGTAAATAATTTCTTTATTTTATAATATTTAAATATTTATACTGAAAAGGAATAATTGGGGAGGGGGACAAAATTACACCATTGACTAGACCATATAGCTATGTGGCTTATAATTTTAATTACTACTATACTTACGTCAAAACACAGCTTGACGATGGTGTTCCACAAGAATAAACCAGTGAGTGCTTGCGATAAACTTTCCTGTTGAAAAATATTTGTTTGATAGATTATTATTATCATGTAGGCCATAGACGGAAATTGGGAGTTGCCCTCCACCCAAAAAGTCGTCCTAATCCCCCTAATGGTTTGAAAATAATTTGAATACCTTAAATTTATAAATCATGTCAATAAAAAATGATACCAAAGTAAGTACAGATTTATAATAAAAACTAGGTACTATTAAAATAAATATTTTAACAAAAAAAATTGATTATTTTCGACGATCAATAACACTGTGATCACGACTATTAGCAATACAATATACTCTGAAAATAAATTTAGAATCTTACTGCTAACCACCAGAGGTTGAGATTGGACTACTGTTTATCGTTGTATTTGAAGTTTTRACTACCTGATGTAAAAAATCGGTTATTAAGTACATATGTTATATATATATACGTATAGTTTAGCTAAATCGCGTATTTCCAAATTTTTGTAATATTGAATAAATTATCACAAAAAAAAAAAACCAATGGATTTTGTAATATTACCTTTTATATATTATGAAATTATAAATACCGATGGTTCTTTGAGCAAACCGAGAACATTTTTTCATTCTAGCTAGGTAAGTGTTCTTAGATCCCCCTCTCCTCCAATAAATAACTTTGCCCCAAAAACACTTATTTTTCGCTAATGTTCATTATACATAGAGGTTTTCTCAATAGTTGACAACACCCTGTATTGGAAATTTTTTAATTCCCTATGACTGTCCACTACATAGAGGTTTCACTGTATTAATGTTGGAATTTGCAATAGGACTCACGTGGAACATCTGCACGCCGTTGGTAGAAATGGCCAAAAACACGCTGTTGCATATGGACAGCGCGCATCCCTGAGTTTGTTTTGGCTGCGACTTGTTCAACCTCAACCGGTATAGGTGAGACTTATGCACCACACCAGCTTCCTGGAGAAACATTGTCTGTGCACAAACCTTGGACATTCCTTTATGGCCCTTGTGCAGAGTGCACAACGTCTGTTTCACCTTGTGCTCGTTAATCTTGTACACCTGTAATAAACATGAGTGATGATGAGTCAAACGCCGATTAGACGAAATTTGCAGTAGTGCCTATAGAGAACTCGAAATTTCTAAAGGTACCTTTAAGGGTTTTATTAATCACAGATATTTACAAAAGAAAATTTATGGTCTTATAAATCACATACAAAGTGATTCAGCAAGTATGCGCACCCCAAATTGCAGTTCCCTTCAGTAATGAATTTTTTTTTCAACTTTTTACTTTTGAGTATTTTTAAATATTCTTGATGTATTATCATCATAAAGAATCGAACACTATCGAATCGAATCATCATCTCYCGTTTATTCCAAAACTATCAACTTAATAGATTTATTACCCTTATAGTATACAGTTACTTGATACACTCATTCGAATTAAGATTAATCTGTTGTTCCCTACCCGACACGTTCCTGAGTATCCGGTATTTAGAGGTTTCACTGTATTACACACAAATTTTCAAAAGTCATCTACATACAATTAACAGAAAGTACGCCGATTCTCGTATATATATATAAAAAAAAAATGGTATCGCCACAGAACGCCCATAAAATGGTATAAAAACGTTGTGCTCCACAGGTACGCTTAAAATTACAAAATAAGAGTTTTTGAATAATTCCGTTATTAAAATAAAAATTGGAGATGAGTATGCAAGAAAATTTGTATAATATAAGCACAAATAKTTATTACTTAAATAAATTAAGAAATTTTCAAAGGTCACCTGCACGTTTTCATAGCTTACGGGCGCCAGAACCGAATAGGTTTTAAACTGGGCCGAGATATAATCAGTATGAATGTATTATGTAGTACAAATCCTCAAATCCAATGCGATTCTGTGGGGAAGTTGTGCTAAACAAAATGATAATAAACTGCAGCCTAAGTAAATTATATAGGTGACTCAAGTACCGCGATAGCGTGTACACGATGCGATGAGGCATGTATCAATATAAGTCAATACCTTCGATGGAAGATACTGTTCGAGCAGCTCGGACGATATGTCCGTGTCAGTCGTGTGATCGCCGAGGTCCGCCTGCAGGCCGAGTGCCACCAGCGACAATACGTTCTGGTCGTCTTCCGTGGAGCCACCCCTTTCCGCGACATTTTTACGCAGCTGAAGATAATAGTGTTGCCGGGTGATGTCATCGCTGAAAAATTAACGTGTCTAATTTAATATACGCTGCAATAACATGAAAACAATTTTAAACGTGTACGTATATGACCACTATTATTAATTATTAATTACGCGTAATTTTTATCATCATTTAAAAAATTATTCTGACCTTTACGAGTTTATCTGTACAATAAGTAATTTTGATGAAAACGATGTATTTACATATTTAGTAGTTTGAAAGATGGGCATTAGCCACCCAGTATAGTGCCGCGCAACAGGTCAATTGAGTACCTATATAGTATATACCAACTCCTTATAGACCAGCATAATCTGCCATTTTTTTAGTCTCCTATTAGGGGTTTTGTTGGAATATTGCTAGAGGATAGAAGTCAATGTTAAATGCTTAGTGGGTTTAAAGTTTTAAACTCTTTGATGAAGTATATATATAAGATAGAAATCTARTGACTTTTTGCATGCTGCTTTTAGTTTTAAGGTTTTTATAGAAATCGTTATATTTTGTTACATACCAATTTTATATAAATATGCAATACTCTGATACGCCGCAGTAATAAATGCTGCATGTATAAGTAAATTATAAATTATGATAATATATTATGTCGTAGAGGAATCAGCGATAATATTCCTATACCACAGAAATCCGAAAACCACGGGGTCCCTACCGGATGGTCAACATTATCGTTCGAAAAGGTTTGAAAATGTACATATAATATAAAAGGGATAATCGTGACAATTTCTACTGTTAAAAATGTAGCGTAGCCATCACACGTTCCATAAATGACGCTATACGTCGTATAATTGTACAATGTACAGTAATAGGTAGCGTAAGTGTTATGTATTATGAACTTCGACGTGTACTTAAGTTCAGATATCATTTTTAATCCGACATAACACTTTTAATCCGTTCGTTAAAATCATACCCAACGACATGCCATATTATTCATAGCGAAATATCGTCTAGTTAACGCGATGACMGCAGTGAGGATTAATACCATGTTTCTATATAACCTTATTATCAGATTATGATCTTCTATCGATATAAAAACCTTAAGCCTGTATTACGCACTACTGTTCATCGATATCGTCATTAGAATTTTTGTTTCTTGGTCAGCGTGAACACATCATTAAAGGCATCTGATCAAATTTTCTCTTCTCCGCACCCATCAACGCCACCGTACCGAATTGATGTCGGAAAAAATTGTACGAGGAGTGACGGTTAGTGAGTCGTAAATATTTTTATAATTATTTTAACGCATAATTTACTGTCAATCACGTGATATTTATGTATATAAGCTACGGGTATACATATATACGTATAAACATAATATACATATACGTATACAAGTATAAAATGTATGTATAAACATTAAGCACTCGCTTAGCTTAACTATAACTATATATACATTCCACGAATGCATTAAACTGTATACGCACGCAAACGATTCGTGCTACCAGWCGAATAATATGACTTTTTAAATAACTTAATGACTCGTTTAATATTTATTCAAACATTTTTGTCCGGCGACTTGAATAAGTATTAATGTGTATAATGTAATAAAATATATGTGCACACACAAACATATCATATATTCTCGGCGGCTATAAATTATAAAAAAAAAAATCACGAACTTAAATCGAATTAAAATTATATATAATATATCTATCGCTCTATATTTATAAATGTATAATATTATGTATGTGTGTATACGTTGTAATTACCGTAGAGATTTAGTAGTGTCGACGTAAAACTTGACGCGTAAATGCAACTGGAGTAGAGGTTGGCCGTTTTGATCGAGACCCTGAGGCGTGATAAAACAAAAAAACAAAATTAAAATACCGATGTTGAGTTGTAATCAAATACACGAGTGTATATCATAAATATATGTAAATAATAAACGAGGAAGACAAAGAAGGGATTAAACCCGTTTTCATTTGGCATTAGGTAATACTTTCTTGCAATCTTACACTGCAGGTACATATATATGAGATATATACATGTCTTTAGCTGGAAGGAACACGATAATGTAACGTGACCTTGGTTTGGGACGAAAAACTATATATATACACGTATTTGTTGTTGTACGTATCAAAACAACATATCATTTTGACAACTTAAAAACCAATTATTGTGTACGCACGCATATATATATTTCGTCCGGAATAAATTTAGACGGTTGCATAATAAATTTCCTTTCTCGCGCGGGTTGTACTCATAATTATACGTATTCCAACCGGCAGCCTGAGCGGAACAACCAATTAATATTTAAAAATACAATCCCACTTTTAAGTCCCCCCCTCCCCCAACCCACTTGTAACTAACAACCAAGTTGCTAATTATATGATTCGGTGTTGTATAGGATAACAAAATTATAAATAATTATTAACGTTACACAACTATAAACATGTTCGGTATACTATAACAGTCTCAAGTTATAATGTTTTTAATTAATTTCAATGGTATTACAGGAAATCGGTTAACACGACGGTCTACAATTTTCTTCGTAAATCTGGTAAAGTCGTAAGTTAGAATGGATAAATTATGTTTGATAAGTTTGTATTAAACAAAGAAAAATGTAAATACTTACATGTGTCGAAGATGATTTCCAACTTTTTGGCGAATACTTAGACAGTTTACTTTCAGGGTCAGTGAAAAAATATTCTTCGTCTGAAATAAAACAATACACATTGTAATAATAATAAGCTTCGATGGGCAGCCATGTGCTTGAATTGTCTATACATAGCGCCTTGACATATTTGCATTATTATACATTGTTATTGGTTATAGTTTTTAATAATAAAAAAAAAACAACTATCTACATTCCTTTACTACGCTTAGGGTATATTAGCGCACTATATATTTTCTCTCTCTGAACTACGAGCAATGTAGCAAATTTATGATTAACAAAACCAACCCTGTGTCATTACTCATTACTTTAAAATTCAAGTGAATTTGTCTATTATCAAACTTTAAGATAAGAACGTTACCTGTGTCCATAGATTGGCTTTTTACGATAGTTTAATTCGTGTACAATTGCCAATTTATATGTATCTATAATTTATATTTATTTATTTACATATAAATTAAAAGGGTCAAAGAGAAATAGAAATTAAATAGTGAATCGACATCCTCTTATATTGTCATTAAAACATATTTGGCGAAAAATAATTATTCGTTAATTACGTTTATAATTTTTTATTACTAACACGTTACAATATATAATTTAATTAATTTTCGTTTGTAAAAAAAGCAGTTATTATTAAAATATATGATCCGATTTATTTTCAAACAATAATTTATACGATAAATAACATTCGCGTGCATAATTTATTTGTATACGATAAATCTTAACAGTTATATACATGTATATAAAATATATATATATATATATATAATTGCAATCTAAATAATATATGTGTATAATCTGCACAGGTATAGGTAAAACGCGTTGGCATTCATAACATTTTTACATAATATTATAGTAAAATTTTATAAACGAAGAATTTGTGAAATAATAAAATTAATTGAAAATATTAAGGCGACAGTAATAGAAGTATTAAACAATTATATTCTGTGTGTATAAAGTTTAAAAAAGGTAATTTAATATCGATCATCTCCTCGATTATACATGCATAATATACCGAAATCATATACAAACGGCGACAATATAAAATTAATTTTATATTACCATTCTATATCTTTAAATTCTTTTAGTTTTGTATTATTATTATTTATTTAAGTACCATGTTTACGAATCTGTTCGAATCACATGTGTATATATATATATATACATCATACATACCACCATCATACCGGTATAATATAATGTACAATGATCGCGTTTACTGTTTTTATTACGGTCACAACTCGCAGTTGCAGGTTATATTATGCATCATTAGATTCATTAAACAGTGCTCGTAATAAAACAGAGAATTAATAATATTAAATGCATTATTATATTATAGTTTATAGTCTGAGCGAATGTACAATAATGTATAAGTATTAAATTATAATATACTCTAAAAAAATTATGTACAATTTATTATGTAAGCTTTAATTATATACATTGTAATTTTACATCTATAGGTATCTATATATACTATTATTCTTTTGTCGTAATAGAGTAATAGATATCCTACTCACCTAGAATAAATGCCAATGCGAACAGTTCGACGTCTTGCATTCCTTGAGCAATCATGTAAGTCGTAAGCTGTGAGAAGACTTCTTTCACCCGAGATTTACCCTAAAAACAAAAATACAGTTTCTGTAAGACTAATAAGGTAACGACGTTTATATTATATATATATATATATTTTCATCGTCTATAATAATTTTTCTTTCTCTCTATATACATATATGGGGTGATCCATTTAACGGACAAGCTATGTATAGTAACAGAAAACACTAATGACGTTTTTGAAAATATTTCTTTCAAATATTTTTAAGTCAACATTATAGTAGGTAGTTTTATTATTTTCTATAGTTATTATTTTTTTTTCAAGTGTTTTATTTTTTTTACGACAAGACACATTTTTTATTTCATATGATTATATTACACATCATGGAGTGTAAAAATCTATTTAGTTAATCTATAAAAGTCAAATTTCGGAAAAGTAGTTTATTATTTATGACTTATAAATATTTAAATTTTAAAGATTAAATAAGTGAAGTGGTAGAATAACATTTCACGAGGAACCCCTTTTTACTACTCCACTCCGCTCATCAAAATTGTAAAATAAATTTATAACAAACTATTAGTCTGAAATTATACTTTCATACAACGAAGTTTTCCAATAAATAGATTTTTTTTGGAATCAACAATTCGAACGTGTGTTGGAATTTAAAAAACGTGAAAATTATTTAATGAAAATTGTAAAAATATATTTTTTAGAAAAATGTCTGAACAACTTTAAATTATATAWAAAAAAAAAATAATGAATGAATGCTTAACGTTATATGGATCACGATCACCCGATATATATCTCACACAGTTATACGCACACTCACTCACACAAACGCTTTTTTATTATATACGGCGACGATAAAATCGATTTATTAAAATAATTTTTTTGGAATCCTAAATAAATCTCCACCGTTCCGTGACTGCGACGACAAAATATAATATTATTAGACTAATATATTTTATATTATGTAGGTTGAACGTATAACTATGAACATTTTTTTTGTTTTTTGTTTTATACTCACGCGCTCTGACAATATAATATTATAAATTCTATTGTGGATGTACCCGAATTCCATGCCGGTTTCCAGTGGTCCAGTTATAACACGTCTACCACAACAACACTTATTGTTATATTTTGTGTTATACACGCGTATAGGTCCTATATATAATATTATATTTTACGATATGGCGGCATTACGGTATGTACTATGGCGGCCTCATACTCGTGTGAGACATATAATATGTATTTATATATAGGAACCATCATCACAGTCGAAATTCGCGGACATAATAATATTTGCCAGGTAAACAATGTATCGAAAAATACAAATATTTTCTTCTCTCTCTCGCGCACACACACACACACATCGCTGGCGTCTCTCTCGTATTTAATCTTTTTTTCTTCTTCTTTTTCTTCTTCTTCGCCGCGGCGGTGGCGGCTTACAGTCGCAGTCGTAGTCGTCATTTTACACTCACCTCGACAATGAAATACAATAATTGGCCAGTGAGCAGGTGGACGGCAGCGAACCGGTTTTGTTGGCTGGCAGGCGTTGAAACAGACAGTAGAGGGCCGCTCACTGTGCTGGCGCTCCGCATGCTAGCTCGCCCGACGCCTACATTTCGCGCGCCCACATAATATCTGCAACTGATTAACATGCATACAATATTATTACACGAGCGTAATCGACACGCCGCCGACTCCGATACAGCGGCAGAGAAAAATGTGTTAGTTTTCGTTGTTGCACTCAATACAATATGGGTACATACATACGTACATATCAATAGTTATTGCTTATTAGTCAAACAAAATATATTATATCTCTTGTATACAAAGGTTTGTAGAATGACATCATCATAACTAATAAGACTATTCAAGTGCTTATATTACATATTATTACATTATGATGATGATAATTATATATTGTGTATAGGTASTGTGTCTATACATACGTAATTCTATTTCTAGCTAAATTACCCATTTCACTCGGCTTAAAATTAATCTATCTACATATCTATGGATTTCCATTTTGCTTCAGTTGAAAAATATAATACAAAAACAATTATAATTTTCATTTCATGATTATCCTACACAAAATGAATACACAAAATACTGGAGACAGGTTCATCTAAAAATGCTTAAAAGCCTACGTAAATCCAATATCGTTTAAATATAAAAGTAATCATAYTTATTTTGTTCATAATGAACCTACTTGTTTTTAAATACAATATTGCAAACATATTTATACGATGTATCTTTTACTAATCGTTACAATATCTATATCTGTAATCCCTAATGGTAACCAATTATATACATAATACGCATTAAAATATTTGATTTTCATGATCCAAAACTTCATTCACGTGTGAGCCATACCAACAGCAACACATAAGGGCTGACAAATCGATGAAAAAATCTTGCCGAGTCTCTATGAATCTACATATATTATATATATAATATAAATATAGRTACATTTTAATATATACGGTCCAGTAGTCTGTGTGACTATATAGAAGACAACGTAATACATCAACATTAATTTTGCACAGATAATTAACACAATGTACAAATATTTGGACGTTTACGGACTAAAAACATAAAATAAACGCTGTTTGTGATTTCAGATTAGCTTGCGCTAACGGGCGTGTATGTGCCTTATTTGCGTTTGAAGGCGTCAAACAATTCTAGTTGACTATATAATATTCTAACACGCGAGTGTGTAGGAACAATATGAATATTATGATAGGTAAGTACTTACCTACATCGTATTATAATATATTAGTTTATTACATAACGATCAACAAAATATATGATATACGAAACGCGGCACAGAAATATCGCCACGGCAGCGTGTTTTTATATTTCCATGCACACTGCAGCATGCTTCCTTCATAAAAGTATTTAGTTGGTACTCGGTATGATATAGTATTATACACGAAGTCGCGGTACTATTATAGGTATATCTATATAAACATGCCCGGGACGAAAATATGTCGGAACCGAACGTTTTCCCCGACATGATGAATTCAAGTTTATTAATTATATAGTTCACTCGACGTACCTATATGTGTATGTGTGTGTATATATATATATATAATATATACATATACCTATGTAACAGAATAAATTACACACGATGTATATATAATAGTTTTCGTCGGTTCAAGGTCGGAGATGTATGTAGCCAGGAAAACGAGACCAAACCTCCGAACGCGCACACTCTCGGCAGCGCTGCACAGTTTCGTCTAACGCCCGCTAATGCACCTATACATAATGTATATTATTCATTTTTTTATAACGAACGCGTCGGGCCCTAAACAACGAGACAACGTCTCCGTGCCCACATAATATACTGAGTCGTACGAACATAATAATATAATACATAATGTGTATGAGTAGTACACATCACCAGCCACCGCGGACATAACCGCAGCGCACAGCTCTGCAGTGTGCGTTGGAAACGAACGAAATCCAAAAAACTCACGAATTCCCTTTGAAAAAAAAACCGTCGTTTACTTACTCGTAAAAAAGTGTATATTATTATGACGTGCGTAATATAGCTCTCCGCCGAAGTCTCACTCGCACGCTGTATAATATAATCAAACTGGTTATCGACGATCTCTCAGAAAAAATTTCGTTACACACAGCGACGGCCGTATTATTATAAATATACATACTTGGCGTCCAGTAGTAATAATATTATAACATATACGCATTGACCAACTACCATATAATTTTAACGACTTTATATTATATTATATATATTATATATATTATATATACGATATACCTACCTATCACCTACGCTACAAACATTTACAAATACCTAACGTAATAGCCTATAGGTACCTATACAATGTTATTAATTTATTACGGGGTTTTTTTTTTTTTTTTAACTCGTTGCGGAATCTTTAAGTTAATGGCCGCCTGAATATTTGGTGATTTACGTGTAGAACACGACAGCGATCTTGCGCTAATCGCAGAGATATTAACACGAATATTCAAGCCCCGCTAAACGATGCTAATATTCTTATGGATGAATGACCGCTTGGAATTTTTAACGTACACCATGCTGTTTGTCCATACCGCGAATCATAGTCGCCTGCTCGCTGCGGTGCAGTGCTTAGTCAAGTAAAATAATATTATAATTACAGTATTACCCATATATTTTTATAGATACAATTTTATTCCCCACAATACCTAATTTACTTAAGTACTGCTCGTATATTATATACACTGTCAGATTATAGTTGGGTATACTCAAGACTGTTCTTTAAATTCCACACCTACTATTATTACGTATATTCATTTAAGTTTCGATGCATTAAAAATGCAATTTATTTTGTGTTTATTAATAATACAGTACATTAAGGTACATTATTTGAAATTCTTAGCTCTCGGACGTTTATAAATAAATAATTATAATTAAATAATCATTTTTGATAAAATAAAAAATAAATAATTTATCATGAAAACCCAATATCATTTATCATTACATATTTACATATATTCCATTCGACAGCCAAGAAGCTTAAAAGCCACATACACTGAGCATAACTATTATTGTTTATTGAACTATACATGCAATATGTATATACAAAAACCATCTTTATCTTTTTATTTACATAGCGGCAGGTTAGAGACGTAATAGTATCCCATTATTGGAATGCATCAAATGGGAGGTAGTGATTTGATTTCAATGCGAAATCAGAACTATATGCTCAAGACCACCACCACACGCATGGTAAGCAATAATAATARTTTTTTTCTCCGTACAAAAACAGTACGTTACGTTACGTGTATTATATATAAACGTGCAATTAACAATTTCAACAAAAAAAATTGAAATTTTACGCAAGATTATTACGCTTATATATAGTGCACGAATGACTGTTTTTAAATATGATATTTTAATAYAAAAATAATTATATCTCATATAATAATCAACTAAATAAAAACGAAAGTGAACCCGTATATAATAATAATTAATAACTTAAAACAAAAAAATAATAACTAATATGACTGGGTAATTTACGCGATTGCGTTWAGTTGATGTTATTATGTGATCGACCACTATAATAATGGTAGATATTAGTGTATAACTGCTACTGTACCTACTGTTAGCTACAGCAAAGATACCGACCAATTATTATGTAGCATCGAAATGCGCGCTCCGTAATAGCCGTTATTAAAATACCATAAAAATCGTTACATTTTTTCCTACTCGAACGAAAATTGTTTTCATCATTTCTTATTTTTATCTATCTCCCAGTATATGTGCCGTGTGCAGGTGTATGATATAAATTATGACAATAAAAAAAAATCGCACAGCTAGACAACATCGCCAAGTTGTCGCCACAATGACGACGTCTTTATGTCCGTACAATGGTCCGCGTGTACAGAGATTATATTATTATTTTATAGTACACGCATAATATTATTGTGTATTATAGTGCGTATGATATAGTGTTAAAATACGCATTAACCGTCGTATCCGACTGAGGAACGTGGTTATAATTATTTTCGGCTAATTATTATTATATTGTTGTGACAACCGACCGCGGAAGACGAAGGGAGACCTATATATTATTATATYATAATGCGTGTATTATAATATGCTGGTGCGAGATCTTTGTTTGTTTACTTGTGGAATGTTCTACGTATGTATATAATTAATATATATATATATATAATATAAGATTTACATTTTACGTATGGTGATACAAGTATAATAACACAACATCAGGCTGCTAAACACTCAAGATCGTTGAGCTTAACCGGTCGAAACTTATATTATTTATTAAAATATAATAAACAGAGTCTGRGTGATTTTATTAACAGCAGTAAAAACTCATTAACTCATAGAATATTAAAATTTTTGAGCACTTCTTACTTTTACTTACTTTTATAATAACTGAGTTATCACTGCAGGTATGGAAAGGATTTTTGCTTTTTTGGGTGACAACGTATACATTTTTTATTTTATATTCTGTAACATAACATTTTATTTTATTTTAAAAATTTCAGTGCAAAAATACAAATTTCAAACGACTGTTGTTTAGATGAACTGAATACGCCTATGATCGTAAAAAATATAGAAAACCAAAATTGTTCATAGTTTGCCCTTGTGTCRGTCTATTACTTGATACTTCGCCCGAGAACTCACCGATATAGGTATCTTTAGTATTATTTTTTACACGTAACACACTCGCTGCACACACAAATATAATACATATATATTATAATATTATTATTATGTACAATACATGTACAATAATATTTCATTTTAGTTTATATGATGTCTGCGTGAATGAATATAACTTTGAATTACAACAACCAACCTACCCTCCCCCTACCACATCACAACAATCCTACCGAGGGCGCGACAACTGTCCAATACAATAATATGTTAAACGATCGCCTTCGGAATGACCGCGTGTGCGCCCTAATAAAGGACCCACTCGATATCTTGAAAGAGGTATTTCACTGGTATGTGTGTGTATATATTTATATACGAACCATTGTTGCGATATACATATATATATTTATATCGTGTATAGATACGACAAGCATAATAATATTATATTATATTATACATATATTATCGATAATGTGTTTCTACATAATATAACCTATAACCGGTGCGCACTGCATATATACATATAAATATACAATATTATGTTCCACCGTCCGAGGAATTCCGTTATTCTAGAACTAATTTTTTTTATCCGCGGTTGCTGGCTGGATGATGCAACTATGTATCATGATTATACGTACGCACTTATATACACGTCAAAAGGCGACCGGATAAGTTTATATGTATATATATATATATTATATGTATGTTATAATATTACATGTACGCATATACACACACACTCTGTGACCGCTGACCGACAACAATAAATTATCATTAAGTATTCTGGGCATGTCATCTTTACACGTGAGTCCGTAGTATCTATACAATATACATATATTTATATTTATAATACCGCAAGTATAATAATAATATAATACGATACGTTTCGTGGCCGTCAGAGGCGATGGATAAAACTACACGCGCAACCGTCGGGTAAGCAGTAGAAGAAAAAAATAATAATCATCGTCTTGTCGTCGATATTGGGTTTATCGATAATAATCCATTGTCACGTATTGTTTTGTTTTGTATTTTGTATTTTTTTTTATTGTGTCCAGGAAGTGTCTGAATACTAATCACGTGGAGTTTATTATAAACATACTTCGGGAGAAAGTAAAACACCGACATTTCACAAATTCCATCGTTTAACCGCGACACACACACACACWATCTCGGTTATAAATATTATAATATCGTATTAATTGCGTGTACTATATATTTAGTATTTACAYCCATAATCGGATAATATTAATGTACTACGTACGACGTACTTAAACATACTATAATGATGACTTATTTTAAGTATCTAATAGCTTTTACATACGTTTTCGTAATTATATATTACTAACATTTATAACATCTGTGACACATGAAGTGTCGCACTGTCTGGCGGCTATAGCAGGTTTATCACCCTCCGCATTGAGTTACTTATTTATTTTTTTGGTATATGATCTTAAATAATTATTACTTCCTACCTATAATATATATTTACATTTATATAGAATTATATTATTACTAGGTATATTATATAATTATATGTTATTAATTTATTATATACATATATTTTACAATTAGTTATTCATAGTATTTTCATAGCATTAATATTGATTTGCCCTGATTCAAATAATAATTTTTTTTGTACTTATTAAAAAATTGATTGATGATAATATAAATAATATAAATATTACTTTCCAGTATAATTAAATAAAGTCTTTAAGTTTAGGCATGAGGCGAGTAGGTACATTATATACCTAGAGATAGGCATTCGCGATACGAGAACGAATGCGATACGACACATCTTACTACGTATTTTAAAATGCAAAACGTAAAACTTTTAAAATGCTGTAAATTATAAGAATTAAGTACAGTCYGCTAGCCACATTATAGATCTTTCAAAATATTGAGAACAATCTAATTTGATGCGAGAGACTTATCGCATCAGCGTTGTGGTGCAGCGCATGTCATATAGGAATAAACATATTATATATTATAATATATACTAATACTAATTAATGTAGTATAAACTTATACATTTWTTTTATCATACTACCTATAGGCTCTTTAAATTTTTCAATACGTCATGTACAGAGTTACCGATCGATCTTCGATAAATATATTTGGTTTAAGTAGATAGATTCAGATTTTCTGTATAGGTAAATATGGATAATAAATGTACATATATATATAATGCGAATGATAATATTATATATTTACCACTTATACTGATTTTTACTTGGGTATATAAACTTCATTTTGACAAAAAAAAAAAAATTAAAAACCGTTGAACGGGTGTCCGATAATATTGCCTGTGCGTTCACAAAATATGCAGTTTGGTTTGGTAGTTCTGGAAAAAATATGAGAGAAAATTATCGTAGTTGTTTACATTATAATATTATAGGTGGTGCTCGCTCGCGATTTCGAACTGCACGGCCCTCTGCATAAGTTTCTAAGTTTCGTTATCGCTGAAAGGAAACCGTTCACAGCACAGTGTTTAGTTAAGTATATGGTGATATAGCTATAGTTTTGTATTAATTATTACAGCGATCGCGACAAAAACTTGAAAGCGCGTCCCAAAACCCGTCGCCGATGACACACGTAATCGAACCAGTATAGTAAATTTCAACAACCAAAACAAATGACGGTGTTGAGTTTATATTATATACACATTATGTACATACAACAAATGTAAATAATATATGAATATTGTGAATTCTATATAGGTACACGTACTTTAAACTCTTATAATGAGTGATAAGAACAAATTCTCATACTTTCAAAATGCAAATATTTTTGTTTGGTATATAAACTGTTTGAGAGTTACAGTAGGAGTAGGTATATGATACAATATAATGGAAATTATTATTTATTAGTGTCATTTTCTAAGCGAATACAAAATGCAAAATTGCAAACCTAAAGGTTATACAAAATACAAAATAATAACCAACTTACAAATAATTTAGGTATGCAGTTCCTTAAAGTATTAATTTTATTTGCAACGTGTTTCTATTATAGAAAATTATTAGGTATTCTTCGAATTTCAATTAAAAATATAATATTCAACGACTACGGATCATATTTACTGTGTGCAATGAAACGGTGAATAAATGCGAAACATAAAACGRCATAACAGTACAATATAACGTTAATTATAAAAATTTAGTGCAACTTCAAAATGCATGTAGATTATAAAATTATACCTAAAGACTTTAAGATCAAAGGCAAATGTTGTGCGGTGTACAACTTTAAATACAACTTTTGTTGCGTTACACGTTCGAACGTTATTATGCTCTAGCATGTGATAGTTATAAAATATTTACACGATGGATTTAAAATATTCCGTACATGTGTTGTTTACTATGTACTGACTATATACTGCAATTCTGTGTTCCAGTCGTTCGTAGCCCGTCGAGTTATGTGGTTAAACTTTCTGTATATATACGCATGCACACGGAACACGGCCGCGGCACTCACAGTTTTATTACTTCAAATTAGCGCGGGACATGGGAAACGTCTGTGACTATAATAATATATATCTATATAATGAAAAATGAAGAATTTATAAAAAGCAGAATATTATCGGCACTTTTTTTATTTACATTGTTGTAAAATGAAAAAAAATTCTAAGCCCTCTCATCGTCTCTATACATTGTAAATTATATAGTATTATAAATTTATAATCCACGATATTGTTTACGCATTCTTACCACATTTATGCTTTTATATATAGATCACATGGGTATTTCTTCGAAATAGTTTGAAACGTCCAAGACTGTACATTTTACAATACATAATAAATTGACTACCTGGTGATCCATTAAACGTAAGGCTATCGTATTTTAAAAACTATTAACGTTTTAAAAAATATATTATTACTTTATCCAGTCATGGTAAAAAACAACATTTTCTAAAAAAATCAATGTTTTTATACTCTTTTTAATGACAAATACATTTTTAATTCGTTATTCCAAAATAGAATATATTACATTGTATTATCATAATTTAAATTCTTTTACTGTGTGATTTAACTTATCCATCATACAAATGTACCTATGAATGAATCACGCATTCACAACTGTTATTATGCTCAGCCGACATAAGTTATTATTTGTTAATATAGGAACATTAGTTATAGATATACCTAAACATGTTTATTACTTTAAATACGAATACTTTAATAGTACCATAAAAATATAAATATATAAGATATACAGTGTGATCACCGATTTAGGGAACACTGAATTTCTCGGCCGGATTTCTTTGGAAATTTGGAATAAATCGATTTTTTTACAAACTGGTGGTATATGACTACACATTTTTCGATATATTTCAACAAATTTTGAGAATTTAGTCTGCGCATACGCAGTAAGAACTTTTTTTWAA